AGAGTGCACCTAGTAATACTGCAGTTAGTAACAGCTTAGAAGTACCAGGTTGAAAATGAAGACTTAGAACACAGCTGGTGTCAATAAAATTAGAATTTAACAAATCAGAAATTAAAAATATCTAACTAGCAGTCAACAGATAAAAGTCAAATTCAAAGTTAAATTAAAAAAAAAAAAAAAATCAGATATGCTCAGTTTTTTTTTGTTTTTTTTTTTTTTCCAGTTTAAATCACCACCTACATTTTTGTTGAGGAATCAAACTATTAGCAATATGCAAATATGCTGTTACAGTAAATTACACAGATGCAGTTAGGACCAGAGCAGGATATGTGGCTGGTATGACCACATTATGCAGCAAGAATGAACAAAAAAGAATGAACTCCTGTCAGTGTTCTCTTGTATCCTTTGTTAAGTCTTGTAGACCAGAACAAGGAATTATCTGAGACAACAACAGGAAATGGGAGAGAAGGTGTAAAAAACCAAGACATATCCATTTTGGTGAAGATTTAGAGCGAGACTCTTCTAACAAGAAATGAAATTTGCCAGTTTACCTGAATTACGAATTCGATGAAGACAAAGTTTGGAAGTTTGCTATGCTAAAAAATCCTAGAATAAGATACTGCCACCTGTTTTTGTGTATTTTTTTTCCCTAATTTTTATATATGCCCCCTAGAAAGGCCTTTCTATTTGTTATTTCCATTTGATTTACTTTTGATTTGATAAAATGATAATCCTGGATCTGTGATTTCCTATAGCCAAGAAAGCCATAAGTTAATGCTATAACTAAGTCAATACAGGATTGTGTGGCAGAAGTAATTTTTATGTTAAAGATTATATCTCATTAACTTGTTTGATCTTTATAATATGAAAAGACTGACCATAAACAGTATATACGATACATACAGCGATTCTGAAATCTCTTCAATAATTAACACAACCGATGAGAAAACAGAACATTCTGGGTTAGTCTACACTAAGGAAAAGTGAAGTAGTAAATACAACTAACCTAACCCAGACTTGAGAATGTAATCAGCAGTAGCCACAATAAGAACTCCAAAGATCAGGCATCTTAGTCATAGAACCACCTGAGCTGGAAAGGACTTTTAAAGTTCACCTAGTCCAAATCCCCTGCAATGAACTGGGAATCTACAGCTGGATCAGGTTGCTCTAGCCTGACCTTGAATGTTTCCAGAGGTAACACCTCAACTTTAAGTACATTTAAACAACAGATCTGCTCTCAATTCTATTGAGAACGTTTTCCTCATTTCATGTACAACTGAAGACACAGAAATTTTTGCACCATTTGTATCAGATAGTGTTTTTGGAGATGGGAGTGACTGAAATCTTAGTCAAAAACATGAAAGAGGAAAACGAAAGACCTGCAACAGAAATCTGTAGCTTGTGGATTAAATTAATTTAAAAGCATGTTAAAAAAAAAAAATAAATCCAAAAGCAAAAGCAAAACAATAAAAACAGGAAGCTGCACAGCATAATCTTTTGGCAAGACTGGTAACAATCACTGGTAACAAGACCGGAACAAAAAATGTGACAGTGATCAGGCAATTCCAGCTGTTTTCATGCATATGTATGTATTTGAACTGCAAGTGTCTGTTTCATTCAGCTTGTACTTTTCTCTGAGATCTTCAGTAATCAAGTATTTGTTTAGTAAGATGCTACAGTAGTGCCAACAGTCACAGAGCGGTATAATAAATACACTCTTCACAAAATATAGAAGCCATGCACCTGGTGTAGAAAGCATAGCTCTTCAGCTAAGGGGAAATCAGTATCTCCCCATTTTTATTTTATTTTTTTAAATTTAAATAGCTCAGCTCAGTCATTTAGAGTCCCAGTTGCTAATGAAAGTCACAGAAACTGCAAGACCTGCACTAAGTTTCTGTTCCATAGCTCACTTCAGGACTGTGAACAAGATACTTCTTGATGAACTACATCATAGGAAATTTCCTTAGTAAACCAACTGATAAAACAAATTTGATATGTTTTTTTTCCATTCTAGTGATTTACTTGAAATCAGCTCTGTTACAAAAAGCATCAAGACATTGGTTCTTGTTTTATCAAGTGCTTTATGAAAGTTAATTACAACAGCCTTGGAGAGGACTGGCAGTTGGGCTTACATTGGCTACGTTCTTGGGAAGGAAGAACTGCACGCTGGAAGAACTGCAGTTCAAAAGGATCAATAGGGCTTTTAGATTGGAGAGCAGTATGTCCCTCAGGGACTAAAGTCACAAGACTAGTGCCAGATGGCACGCTAGACTTCTAAGATTTATAAGATTTTGCTTTGTTTTACAACAACATGGTTTCTAGAAAAGGTGGAGACACCAGATAATGATTCATTTATGATTTGCAATCTTCCTATATAGGTAATTGATTGTGTTATTCGTTATTATATCTGACCAAGCCCTGTAGTGAACTTCTGCAGCTCCCCAGTAGTGTCGAATAGCAGACTCAGAGTGATGGCCTGCCAATGCCATAATTTTCTCCAGGCCCCAGTCCTGCTTCACACAGTAGCTGGATGGTGGTAGTTCGGAGAGAATGATTGGTATATCGCTGAGAAAGCCTGGCTGCCACACTTATCCTGGGCATCATTGCACCCAAGTAGTTCACACCCATTGGTTCTCTTTTGTACCATACAGGCTGTTCTTTCATTTGCTCTGCTGTTAGCTTTAAAGGATGCAGGTAAAAGGCCGGAGGCTCTGGAGGCAACTTAGATAAATAAAGCTCCAAGGAAAAAACAGGACAGTTTGGGTCCCCTGGCATATCATACATTTTACCCATTTTATGAGGATCTTCTTCATTTTTTCCTTTTCCAGGATACCTAAACATAGCGTAACGACGCCCGTTCTTGTCCTTCTCAACAACAAAAGCATCTGGAGCCAGATCTCTCAAAATTTCCCTCCCTCGTTTGGTAAAATGCAACTGCAAATCAAACCACACCTTGTTGACGAGTGCCACAGGACTGTGCAATCCCAGTACACCAGACAGTTTAATCTTACGCAAGTCGTCAGCTGCTATAGGAGGATGGTGGTGAGTCTCATCCTTTCCCTGGATGCGCAGCATCCTCAGCATACTCACAAATACCATATTTGCACTAGCAAACTCTTTGTCCTTCATTAAGCAAATCTGACGATTGTAAGGTGGCATTTTGAGATGCCGGTTTAAGCCAGCACGCATTGACTTGTAGCTTGCCACACTGTAGGTATTTCCATCATGATTCCTTATTTTGCAATAAAATTCTCTTAAAATATCATTGAGTTCACTTACTGGAACCAATTCAAAGCTAGGATCCTTGCCATTTTTGGCCAGCCATTGCTTTAATAGGTTAGCTGCCCAGCCAGTCTGCTTGTGGGTGTTTTTGATGCTCTTAGCATCCTCTTCCTCTTCCTCCAAGCCAAAGAGGACATCCTCAGGGAAGTTAAGATTCATCTGTGCTGCTTCTACTGCTTCTTTATTTTCTGATGAAGTCTCTTCCTGTTTCAATTGCTTTTCGAAACAATTGATCAAAGTTGTACCATCAAATATGCCACAGGTATACGGCACACAGCGAACTACTTTTTGTTCTGAGAGCTGTGAAGTGCAGAGTAATACATAATATTTTGGATGTTACATAACAAAAAGCAGGTGGCATTAACTGGATTTTTCAAATGACATCGCATGTCAGTTTCATATCCTGATAGTCAATTAGAATGCATCTGGTCTTTTTTTAAATTAACCATGGCATCACACATGCTTTAACTGATTCAACTGAAAGTAAACCTAGAGACATACACTAAAAGACTGAAAACCGGAAAGCGTCTTGTATCTTGTTTCCTTCCAAATCCTCCCTTTTTGCTCACCTTCAATTGCTAAATACCACTCATGCACACAAACTTTTTTGCTAAAATCTTTTCCGGGTTTCAGACTCTACCGAAGATGAGAAATTTCAAAATATACATCTTATGCTGAAAATATATCTTAAAATCATAAATCTCAATTATTCTGGTACTGCTTTTCCTCCATATCAACTACTGACAGATTGGTACAGCTATAATCCACAGGTATTTTTAAAAAATGATAACCATTCTTTATGAAATGCTTTAATAAAAAGATAGAGTAAGGCATGGATTATAATCTGTAACACTGGTCATCTTTACTAGACTATTTATACAGGAAGTGAAAAACAGAATCTTGTCCAGTATACTTTCTTCTTGCTTTGAAACACAATTCAGATTTATCTGCACCTTGAAAAACCATTAAATGCGGAAATTTTAGTAGGTATGTAGGTAGGTAGGTAGTAGGTAGGTAAATTTTAGGGTAGAAAAAATTAATTTTATTCCCCTTAGTAAAATGACTTCCAGTTAACAGAAATGTACATGTGATAGTGCTTTGTGTAATATCTGTACACAGAATCGTCATTACAAATCATTTCAAATACCTTAAATTTAACCTTAAAATTGCAAAGTCCAACAAATTTTAGAAGAATCCAGAAGTACTGTAAGTTCTCCTTTGTTATGAAGTAGCTATTTCTGAAGGAAGCTTCTTTTTTTTTCTCAATAACTTTTGGATTAGTGTAAAAATGAGAGCTGCAATAGTTTGCAAAATACTTTTAGCTTCAAGTTTAAGACCTTTAGGCAAAAACTAAGTAGACTTTTCTTTCATATGTTGGCTCTGTTGCATCAGACATGTTTTTAGTGTTCTCCAGGATTACTAACTCACCTACTTATGGAAAACACACTGGAAAACTTCTGAAGAGATTATGAGGAGCTCATGCTCCCAGTAATACTCCGGATCAGAAGAAGAAAAATACAAATAGACACAAACTAGAAAGAACGGGGGGAAAAAATACCAACAACAAAGAAACACACAAACCAGAAAAAAAAAAACCACAACTAAAAAAAAACACCCACAGCCTAAAGTTGCTTCATTATGAGCAATGAGGGTAAAGAACTTATCTCCTGTGGATTGTAACTTCAGAAGTTTCAACAAAAATATAATCAACAACCTACCTGTGTTGTTCCCTCAGCTGTTCTCTTGTTCGCTGAAGAATCTGCTGGTGGCCTGCTTGTCTGGTTTTCTGAAGGGTCAAGAAATTGGTTCATTTGCAGTATCTAATCAATACTAAACTAAATACAGCTAGTCCACTCTACAAATTTAAAGGCAACATTTGAAGTTGTTTGATACTAAATGCTCCTTATTTTTCAAGTGCAAGTATCCAAGCTTGATTACTATCATTTTTCAGAGGAAACAGGAAGAAAAAGCAAAATGGCACTTTTCAGTCTAGAAGTAGTATTCATTCCCTTCCCTGAATGTCTGACATATATTCCAAATATTTTATGGGTAATTCCCTCAGTTGTCTGAGGAGAAAACATAATTCCAATCTCTCCTGCCCCTATATGTTAACAGACAAGATGTAAAGCAGAAAAAAAAAAAGTTGTTCAACACATTCACATGAAAATTGACTATGTATGGTTAGAATGGAAAACATGTAAATGAGGCAAGCAGAGCAGGGACAGAATTCTTAATTCTTGCTCAACTGAACACATACCTACTTAAGCAGAAGTTGCTTGAATATTTGATGTAAACATTTAAATCAAAATTCTTCCTTCATACTCCCTTACATTTTAACCAGAGCTTAGCAGCAACTGTGCTTGCCCAAAGCAGTGTTTCAATTCTGATGAGAAAACCACTTGGTATACACAAATGCAATGTGAACTGTAGAAAACAATACATATTTCTGGGCACAGAGACCTTTCACAGCTCTTTGTATTATATCACTATACTAGCCTTAGAAATAAACAATAATGCAAAGCGTATAATTGTCACTTTCATGGAAAATATATTTGGCATATGTATCTTAGAAATGAGAAATTAAATAAAATTATTTGTGATGTTGAGCCCTACTTGAATTAATCCTAACATTATACTGTGCCAATTAGAAACTCTTAGCTATGATTTCAATTCACTCAATACCACTAAGAAAATCTTGACTGCAAAAAAAATTTCAAATAAAAATTTCAACATATCTAGTATCAGAAGTGCAGAGAATTGTCATAACATGGCAGAAGATGGAGAGACAGCATTTTAAAATATGTCAGCTAAATAGCATATCTGAATTTTTCCTGTGCTTTAAGAGCCTTTAAATCTAATTCTTTGGAATTAGATTAATATTATGTTGTTGTTTTTTTTTCTCCCATTTTGTTTAAGTGTTTTGAAAATTGAGTCAATTAACATCTTTCTGTTCTTTGGAAAGGTAATCAGATTATTCCAGGAAGTTACATTATACGAAAATGTTAATATTAGGACAGAAGCATCTGATTTCATGCTAGGAATAATATAAATCAAGTTCTAAATAAAACAAAGCTTACAGAGTCAACCTGTTAACTCCTAACGAGATATGATTTTCAACAATGGCTAAAACATTTGTGACAGATGATCCTGATCCTGATAATTTCAACAGTAAGGCCACCCAGAAGATACATTTCAGCAGTAAAAACAAAACTTCCACAGGACTAGAATTTCATGTTTTCTTTTGACAACGGTTTTCTCCTCTTTTCCTAGTGTCAACATTCAAGCATGACTTACCAACTCTGGGCGCTGTAACGGTAGATGGTTCGGCAGGAGCGGTACTATTAAATGCGGAGAGGGGAATCTTCATATGTATGGGACCTCGATTGCTGGTAGAATTATTAAGTCCTGAAGTACCCACTGTGGGCAAAGAAGTCCTTGTGGTTTGTGCAACAGGATGTGTAGTTGAGACTGCTTGTACAGCTAATGTTGTCCGTACAGACCCAGCACTGGCTGGAGAGTTTCTCTGAACACTAGGACTGGACACAGACAGGCTGTTATTTGGTTTAGTTGTGTTAGTAGATGCCAAAGATACTGCATTTTTGGTAAGGCTACCAACTGTAGATGAGCTCTGTACAGATATAAATTCAACGCTGCCTGACTGCTGGTTAGTGACCAAAGTTCCTGCGTGGCCTTGAAGGAGCTGAGGCTGGGATGACACTGCAACAGGCACGTGCAAGATTACAGGCAAAGACTGCAATGAAACAGACATTGGCTGAGTGCTGCCACTGGGCACTTGGCTTGTGCCTACAACTGTAGCCGTGTTAGCCGTCGAAATAACTGCTGTTGTCAAAGGGCTAGAGGTCACAGGAGTCTGAGGCTTAGGATGTCCACTGGCAGGTGTCTGAGGAGCAGCAAGACTTGAAGCTGGTGCTACACACAAAACACAAAAACAGAATTTGAACCAAGAGGGTAGATCCACTCCAACACAACAAATGAAAAAATGGTTACTTTTATTTTCAAAGAAAGGCTATGTGTGCTCTTTTTTCTGCTGTACACTGTGAAATTCAGTGGTCTAGTTTAAAATAGTGTACACCGTATTTCTATTTGAAAGAACTAAATACAAATGACAAAATTTACAAACAACTGAGACGCAGAGGCTTGAGGAGCTGAGATTCAAATGATGAAAATACATGAAGTACAGCACTTTAAACACTTGCTACAGAAACAGTAGAACAACTGGTCCTTTAGAAAACACAAGAAGACAAAAACAAAATCAACTTGACTAAGTTACTTTGTATGGGCAGGACATTGTATCTAGAAGATGCTACTGAAATAAGGATTAATGTGCCAAAGAAAGTATTTGCTTTTATGCAACAATATTTTGGGATTAAATCTAAAGATCAGGAGCACAGTATACTAAATATAGCCATTACATTCCTATTATGTGCTGGTTCTGAAAAAAAAAAAAAAGATAAATAAATCAGTTTTAAGTAAACAGAATTTTAAAACTGAAGATGGTGTGAGAATGGTGAGATGGTGAAGAATATAATTAATTGTGGTTTTGATTCTAAATTCCTTATAAAATTCCAGTATTGGAATTCCACTTGTGATTCCTTTAAGAAATGAGGCTTGTGACTTCCCTTAATTCCTCACTCAATTTTTATAGCCACTAGTCAGAGAGCTCAATAATCAGCATCCTACTACAATCAAGTGCAAAAATATGGCCTGTGAGCCATGCGCTTCACTTCTCAGCAGTGAAGAAATTTCAGCAGTGGAGAAACTTGACGTTTTTCTGCCTTACCCAGGCAAGCAGTCTGCTGTAGCATTTAATTTGCCCAGATGTTCTAGTTGGCCATGTCAATGTATTTTTTGCCTTGCTTAGTAAGCACATTACACAAACATAAATGCCATCCCGAAGAAAGCAACAAAGATGATAAAAAGGCTGGAAGGAATGACCTATGAGGAGAGGCTGAGGACACTTTGGACTCTAGACTGGAGAAAAGAAGACTAAAAGGTGATCTCATTGCTCTCAAAGACTTCCTGAGATGAAAAAGTGAAGAGGAAAGTGCTGGTCTCTTCTTCATGGTAACTGAGGACAGGATGTATAGGAGTGGTGTAAAGCTGTATGAGGAGCGTCAGGCTACAAACAAGGAAAAATGTCTTCATTGCAAAGGTGGTCAAACACTGGAAGAGTCTACCTGCAGAGGTGGTTGATGCCCCTTGCCTGTCAGTGTTAAACATTTCAACAACATCCTAAAAAATATGCTTTAATTTTTGGTTAGCCCTCAAGAGGTCAGGCAGTTGACCTAGATGATTTTCAAAGGTCCTTTCTAACTCAAAGATTCCATTCGATTCTAAACTGGGAATGTGGTAGGCAGCCAAGAGTAATGATGTCAGGAATAAAGAATTTCTACAAAACAGTTTTGGTCTGTTTAGTCACCTAATTAATGGAAAGCAATCAAACTTTCATGAAGTTAATTTATAAAGGCCATAGGCGGTTTCTCACCTGCATTCACAGGGGCTTGAAGAGTTGCTGGTTTACTATCTCCTACATTCCTCTTTGATTCCAGCATCTGCCTCACCGTGGTAATATTTCTATAGAAAGAAGATTGTTAGCATTTCTCAACAGGTATAGTGATGATGGGGAAACAAGGCTATATTGCAAGGCTATTAGTTTCATTAATTTTATAATCTGATTTATCTTCTGCCTCCACAAGCAAATTAACACTGTATATTCCTCTACTAAAAAACAAAAACAAAGAAACAAAAAAAAAAACCCTTAGAGAATTACTTATTTACAAATTTTCAAGCTTTTGCACTGAGCTTGCCTTTTGTCAAGTGAATTTTCTCATTAGACTTCTATCGTCTTTAACTGTTAACACATCTTTTAACCTAGGAATTAATTCAATACTGTCCATTTGTGAATTCTGTGAATAAAAATTGAATTTCACAGTTGGATAGCAATGAAGGAAGAACACTTTAATTAAAAAAACAAACAATCAAATTCATTACGTGAGGTCCTACTCCGAATTTTAACATGACTGTAGTGATGTGCTTTGCTTACCGGTATGTCAGATTGTTTGCATTCGCAGTGCTACTTGCTGCTTTTCCTGAGGACAAAGATGGGTTTGGTGTATTCTGAAAAAGAAACAATATAAAGAAAAACAAAACAACTACATCAGCTTGTGGATTAACTGTAGTCCATACAGATTCCTTTCTACACTACTTTCTACTATTTGGTCCTACCTACCTCACTCCTATACACTTTCTCCAAGCCTCTTGCCTTTAGGATTTTATAGCATAAGAATCAATATTTCTTTTTGAACTGTTACGAATTTTTAGCTCCCACTTCGTCACAGTAACTAACCCAAAATACTTACTCTAGACAGATTTGTATTCATTCCTCTATTCCCTTCCCTCCCTCCCTAAAAGCAGATATTCATCCTGTACTCTTCATATTGAAGTAAATTACTTTTTCTTACATATAATTTAAGGTGCTTCCACACTAACAATGTATAAAAGACCTTCCGTGCAAATGAGACCCACTGAATAGATGTTGAAGACTATTCCTAAGAATGGCTCACTTTTAGTCAAATAAGATAAATCTACTTTGTGAATACCACTGAAATAAGTCACAAATTCCTGCATACAAAATTTCCTCAATACAAGGCTTAGATTAGCTCACAAATACAAATACTGCAAACACAGTTCTTACTTCCTGTTTTTTCTTCATATCCTCCTTGGCAGCTCCAAACCGTTTTGTCAATCGAGAGATTTTAGCCTAAATGGAAAGAAGAGAAAAGCCAGTAAACAAAACCACAAACACAAGAACCATTAAAGAAATTACACACACCAAACGTTTATACAGCCTGGAAGGCCAACTGTGTTCTGGGCTGCATTAAAGAAGGGGTGGCCAGGAGGAACAGGGAGGTGGCTGTCCCCCTCTACTCGGCTCTTGTGAGGCCCCATCTGCAGTACTGTGTCCAGGCCTGGGGCTCCCAGTACAGGAAGGACGTGGAGCTCCTGGAGCGGGTCCAGAGGAGGGTCACTATGATGATCAGAGGGCTGGAGCACCCCTCCTATGAGGAAAAGTTGAGGGAACTGGACTTGTTTAGCTTGGAGAAGAGAAGGCTCCAGGGAGACCTCATTGTGGCCTTCTTGTACTTGAAGGGAGCTTATAGACAGGAAGGGGAATGCCTGTTTATGAAGGTGGAGATTGATAAGACAAGGGGAAATGGTCTTAAACTGAGACAGGGGAGATTTAGGTTAGATATGAGGAGAAGTTTTTCACACAGAGGGTGGTGACGCACTGGAACAGGTTGCCCAAGGAGGCTGTGGATGCCCCATCCCGGGAGGCATTCAAGGCCAGGCTGGATGTGGCTCTGGACAGCCTGGTCTGGTGGCTGGCGACCCTGCACATAGCAGGGGGTTTGAAACTAGATGATCATTGTGATCCCAGGCCATTCTGTGATTCTATGATTCTAAGAAAATATTCTTTCCATGAAAGACAGTACTACTATATGACTTTGGAGCAGCAGAAAGACACCAGTGTGTATCACAATCCTACGTTACGCATGACTTTTCACTGCTATTCATAACTGCACAAAGATAATGTACTTATTCACTTTTTATTTTTCTCCTCTCATCCCCCTGTGGAATCAAACTGCCTTCCCAAACAGCAGCTACAGGAAACTTATTACTAAATGCTGAGGAAGTTGCTAAATTTGACACTTGTGTGCAATTCAATACACACTCACCTGTAGTTCAGTAAGCACAGTTTTATGCCTCTTGTTACATTCTACTTTCTCTATCCGCATTTTCAAGTCTGCCAGAGTCTTGTCAAATACAGCACACTGTAAAGCAGCAAGTTTTTCTTCTAACACTCTCTGGATAACCTGCCAAATTAGGATGGGAAAAAAAGGAAAAGAAAATTAATCCTAAAACTTGAGAGACTGTCTATAAAAATATTGTCAACTCAAAAAGAATTTTGCCACAAATGACACTGGTTGTGCCTTGTCAATCAATTAAATTTATCATAATCAATAATAAGAACGTGATTACATTGCTAAACAACATGTTTATGTCTGTTTTGACAAATATATATATATATCCCTTTCTACCATTAACTCAATACATTAATTTCACTGCAGTTTGATAAACATATACAGATTTATAATTGATAAAAAGAATCTTAACAGAAGACATTTTTGTACCACTGTGTTTACACAGGTTAAATTTTTCCCTTCTTTTCTACTCTTCATAGTGACATTGGCACTTGAAGAACAGAAACTAAAAGTGTTTAATGAAACTTCAGTTTTTGATACAGTTTCCCCTAAGCAGAAATGCCCTGTGCTGCTTTAGCTGCAGAAGATAAAAATGGCAAAAGAAGAGACTAATTTATGCAAAGTCTACTTACTACATTAATCTTTTCCCCTTCTGCTCCTAAATTTTTACTATTGCAAAGTAAAAATCTCCATAAGAAAAAGAAATAAACAAGCAATAGAAGTGGTTGTCTGGATCCTACACTGAAGTTACAATATGCACCACCATAGCTCTACAAAAATCTGCAAAACACTATGTTTGATAACTCATTATTATGAGAGACTTTCTTTAAAGCCGGGTACAAAAAGCAAAGCACATGTAAACATTTATCATACTAAAATGCCACCTTCACTGAGATTCTTTTATTCTCCATCTACAGTCACATTTCACTTAAGAATTTAAATGCTTAACACATTTCAAATATAATTCTTGTGACATGCTTTCCAAATGGCATTTAGTCTAAGTAAGGCTACCTAGGCCTTTAAAAATTGAACCTCTGTTGTTATTTTAATTATGTATGATTTTAAACCAAAAAATGAGAGAAAGCTTGTGTGTATGTGACTAGAGAGTGCGTGGGAAAAGACAGGTAAAGTGGTAAGAGAAAACAAAGACATGAGATATGGTTTTGCCATCTTCATTCTTCACTTCCACTCTACCTTTTCTAACTTTTGGTCAACATCTCTTCTGGCTGTAATTTTCACTTGGAATTCTGCTTCATAATCTTCCTCTCCAACATATCGACGCCGTTTAGAATGCACACTGTCCATGTCCTCAGATTTTGAACGCTTTCTTCTTGATACTTCACCTGAAACAATTAGATACAACTGCTGATGACAAATCTTAAAAACAAACAAACAGAAACCAAATGAAAGCAAAATAAGAACAACCAGAAGAACTACCCCCAAACAGATACTTGCAGAATTGCATGAATATTATGAAGTTTCATTTTTTATCCACTTAAGCATTTTTCATTCTAGAACAGTAAGAATGCCTTCAGAAAAGCAATGTATTTGACAACATCAAAAGAGAACAAGGCCCTTTCTCTCCATACATTGCTGCCAAGAGTTCCACTTTGTGATTCACCAAACCACTACCTCAAATGCAAGACCACACAGTCATTCCCCTCTTGCATGCCTCCATTTCTTCCTCTTCCTACCAGCACCATCCTGAAATGTAACATGGCTTCTCAGAAGCAAAATAAAACCTCTTTCTGAAAAAAGTATTTTTTTCTCAGTAACCTATTAGCCAATTAAAACTTCTACTTCACTCTGCCTGTGTTAGCAGAGTTCTTTCCTATCTGTCATGAATTCTTCTCCTGTACCTCCAACCTCTGAATAAGAGAGCAATCGGATCTTTTTCTTACTATTTGAGCAAGAAGGAAAGTAAAAACCTGATGAAAGAAGAGGCTCAAAACAGAACTACATTATGAAGGTTATTTTCATTACAGTGATGAAGCACAGAAGAGCAAAAAGAGACCTCATTCATTCCTCCAGCTCCTGGCACCATATGCTCTAGTGATGTGGATACAGAATGATGTGCCCAGTAAAGGGAAGTAAAGAAAGTTATAGACCATTCTGTGTGTGTTTGTCCATACAAACATCAAAGACCACGAGCTTCACATTTGAGGATGAGTCAGAAAGACAGGATTAGTAGATAATGGAGAATGAAAAAGCACAACAAATAGTGACTTTCCATTTTTCTTTAATTAAATTACACGCACTGTGTGAGTCATATTTTTAACTTCAGAGATTATTTTCTAATTTTCTGATGGTTTTCCATGTTGAGAGCTGCACTAAAAAGACTCTAGTGTACTAAAAATATTAAAAGGCAATTTTAAAACCCTGTGTGACAACCTTTATCTAAAAAAAAAAAAAAAGAGAGCATAGGTATTCACATTTTAGGGGAATACAACAGGACTACAGGACTCCATATGAACACTGCAGAATGCTGAGTATCTGTGAACAGTTTAAATGTCTAAGGTGTAATTTTTTGTTTTTATTTTTTCAGAATGACAGTAAGCAGTGACGAATAAAAACAGCTACAGCTCAAGCTTTCTTCCATCCATCAGAAAAGCCTGCAGAAAGCGAATAAATTTTAAACTGCAAAGTTAGAAAACTATCCACAGACTACTGGAGACAAGTTTACTAGGATTTTCTGTACACTGTTTGCCTACTCCCAGTCAGTCATTTAAGAAGAAATCAAACCATTCACGAATGAAACAATTAGCTTCTAACATACAAGAAGTACTTATTTATTTATCAAAACATGTTCAATAATTTGTTCTGAAGCAGAGGCTACATTAAATCATACTGCAGCTTGATTATCTTTGAAGAACTTGAGGGTGCTTGCTGCTGATGGAAAGGATAGCAATGGGAAGTTGTGACTCCTGGAAACACTAACAGCTTTGAGTTGCATCAGTTGCTCCTGATTGAAGGGTGTTTTGCACTTATGTTCTAGTTAACACTTTATGCACACTGAAACATCCTTTCAGCATGTACTGGCGAGAAGCCTAACTAATGGCTGGGCCTAAAGCACAGCTCCCAGAGCATGGCTAACAACAGCTGAGAAACTTTGCAAAGTAGGGTGCACAGAAGGTGGTCATGGTCACCATGCTCAGCAACGGTGATGACCTACCATGTGACATCATCTCCACTGGGACAGTTCCTCTTGTCATGTCCAAGCCCCCACGCAAACAGAGCTCTCCTGGGTGAGGATATGGCTTTGCAAATCTCAAGCTGCCTGGACCTCTAGGGTGTCTCTTTCTGTATGAAGCCCTGGCAGAGAGAGATGAACTTCTTGCCTACAGGAGGTATAAACTAGTGGGGCAGTCATGTTACCAAGCAAAGAAGCTACAGAAGGAGGTCAGGAGATGAAATAACATCAGAGATAATTAAACAGAGAGTGACCGGATGAACTGTAAGATCCTTCAGCTTCAAGAACCAGAACCTCCAGCTACACCAGAGGACACAGCCAGAGCTTGTCCTGTTGCAAAGTGGAAATTCCAACAATGACAAAAGTAGGAAGCACCAGGGCAGTGGCTCCCAATATGCCTGCAGGTGCACAGAATAACTAAAGATTTGGATCTTATCATTTCAGATTGCCGAAAGTTCTGCCCAGGGAAACGCCTGAACTATCTGAGCCTGAGCCATTCAGCAGCACGATGCAGAAGTCAAGAGCAATAACTGTGGATGATTCCCTACCTGCAGGGAACAGAGATTCCCATCTGCAATGGACAGAATGACCTCATAAAAATCTAAAAACAGGAAGTGTGCAGGGATGGGGTTAAGAAAGTTAAAGGCCACCTTCAGCTCAATCTAGTGAGGAACATGAACAGTAAGCACTAAGGGCTTTCTGCCAGTATATTAGCAGCATAAGGTTAACTAGGAAAAATATGCCCCCTGCTGCTGACAGGGTAGCAAATGATACAGTAGAAAAAACCTCAGATGCCTATTTTGGCTCAGACCCTAATGATAAACCTTTCCTTCAGCTATCCTTGACACCTCAGTGATTCTGCGTTTCTAATATGTATCATCAGTGCAGAGTAGTGTTGATATTACATACCTCTGTCTGTGAGTTTTTCTTCTTCTTTGTGGACCACTTCTCTTTCTTTGTCCTTTTCCTCACTTTTTCCCACCTCTTCTACAAACACAAGAAAAAAATGTGTTACTTGCATTGACTTACAGAATGTTACACACAGAATCCTCTTTTGATTTGTGAGCTTAGGATGCTTACAAAATGGAAGAGAAAGAAACATGAGAGAGGGAGAAGTACGTAGAGATGAAAAAAACAGAAGATAGTTTCAGAGCAAAACTACTGTACAACAGAGATCCACTTCTGGATTTGCTCAGCTTTAAAACCAACACAATGCCTGAAAGTTACATCTGAAAGCTAGACTTAGGAAAAAAACATAAAAATTCAGTAGGAAATTATTAACATGTTTATTTACCTTTGGCAAATTCAACCACAGTATTTATGGTAGGATAAAGTTAAGATCCTTTTTTCTTAATAAGTATTGATAGTAATTTAATGTTTGTTACTAGAAGAGAGCATCTTAATTTAAATCCAATTATCTACCTTACTCATGTCAAGGTGCTTAGAACTAGAGGGTCTTCAATGTCCCTTAAAGTCCCTTCCAGCATTCACTTAAAACCTACATTGCAGAAAGTTCATTAAACAATGAACAAACAAAAAAATTAACCACATCTCAAATCCACACAGCTTACAAGGAAGTACTTTCTAAAAGCTGCACAAAGGGAGAAATTTCCATCAACTTTTACTGCATGTTCCATGACTTCTTCCAGCATATCATACAGGCTGTATTGCTGCCTTTGCTTGCTACATGCAACATAAAACTATTAAAGTTACACTGCCTATTAGCATTACATTAAAACAGATCCAGAATATAACAAAACAAGTCAACTCTGTTATACAACACTTGATTGCTACATTTCTTCAATTTCTATTTTCATTCAGTTATTACATCACAGCTTATGTAGGCTTGTTTAGAGGAAGTTGTGGCTGCAAAGATAATACTGATAGTCTCTTACCACTAAATTCTACTTGTACTGTGAACACTCTTCGGATGATTTAAAATGAAGTTACATAATAAATCAGCAAAAGGAATCAGAAACCCACAAATGGAAATTATGAGGGTTTTTCTTTCCATGTTATTAATCTATGTAAGAAATAATAATGATTCAAACCACAATATTTTCTCAAAACCAATCTGATTTACTTTCAAGGTAACAAAGTGTCATAGCAGCTACACCACTCGCTTTTTACAGATAAATTCCATGCACACAATTGTTACCCACGAGACAAGACTCATTCACAAAAGAATCTGAAGGAGACTCTCAAAGTTCAAGAGTACTTTATCAATAAGTTGCAGATCTTGAATGTTCAACCAAAAAAACCCAGATACTTCATTGAAAGATTCACATATCCAGGACATTTTTAGCAGCGTCCTAGTTTCAAAGCTGAAGGGTTATTTATTTATTTTTTTTCATATGTGTGGATTTTGATTGTCCATGTGTGTAGAGATAGGACTAAGAAAGCCGAGGCACAGATGGAGCTGAACTTGGCGAGGGATGTGAAAGATAACAAGTCTTGGGACCGATGCTCTTCAACATCTTCAACAACACAGACAATGGTATCAAGGGCACCTTCAGCAAGTTTGCAAAAGACACCAAGTCGAGCAGTGCAGTCAATACACTGGGAGGAAGGAAAGCCATCCAGAGGAACCTGGATAGGCTGGAGAAGTGGGCTCATGAAAACCTAATGAGGTGCAATAAGGCCAAGTGGAGGGTGATGCAGGTCGGGACAATCCCAGGTATTTATACAAACTGGGGGAAGATCTCCTCAAGAGCAGTCCTGCAGAGAAGGACTTGGATGTCCTGGTAGATGAGAAGCTGGACATGAGCCAGAAATGTGTGCTTGCAGCCCAGAAGGCCAACTGTGTTCTGGGCTGCATTAAAGAAGGGGTGGCCAGCAGGGAGAGGGAGGGGGTTGTCCCCCTCTACTCAGCTCTTGTGAGGCCCCATCTGCAGTACTGTGTCCAGGCCTGGGGCCCTCAGTACAGGAAGGACGTGGAGCTCCTGGAGCGGGTCCAGAGGAGGGTCACTATGATGATCAGAGGGCTGGAGCACCTCTCCTATGAGGAAAAGTTGAGGGAACTGGGATTGTTTAGCTTGGAGAAGAGAAGGCTCCAGGGAGACCTCATTGCGATCTTCTAGTACTTGCAGGGAGCATAACCACAAGAAAGCACAAAAATCTACCTCTTGTATGGAGTGGTAATCCTTGATGAAATCCTACATAAAAGTTCTTACACAAAAGAAATACTGTTTTAAATGATATTCTAATTACCAAATCCTACATACTCCTACTAGTATGATACATTTGCAGAACAGCACTTTTCATACTCATGAAGACATAACAGGTTAGAGCAGGTCTAAATGGAAGTTCACCAAGAGTCCACTACAGACTAGGATCGGTATGACTGTGGAGTAGCCTTGCTGAAAGAGACTAAGGGGCACTGGTGAGCAAGCTGAACGTGTCAGTAGTGCACTGCTGCAGCAATGAGGGGAGGTCAGACTCTGGACTGTATCCACAGGAGTGTTACTAACACAGACGGAAATGCCATCTACCCAATCCAGTCAACGTTTGTCAGGCTGTACGTGGCCTGGCTACATCCAGTTCTGGCCCCAATAATTCAAAAAAGATGCAGACAGATTGGAAAGGGTCCAAAGGAAGTCCCCAAAGATGATTAAAGGGCTGCAAAACCTGCCGTGTCAGGAAAGGCTTGATATGTTAGGCCTTTTCACTCTAGAGAAGAGAATGCTATGAGAGGACCTCATCACAGTATCCTAGTGACCTAAAAGGAATAGCAGCTCCTTCTTCACAAGCAGCCACATGGAGAAAACACAGGGAGATGGGTACGAGTTGTTCTGCGAGAAGTTTTGACTTGGTTTTAGAATTACATTTTTTTTTAAATGACATTCATCACTGGTACAACATCACCAAGGATATGGTACAATTCTCATCACTGGAGTTTTCTGCGATGCAACTCGACTGGATTATCTTATCTAGGCTTTCATTTCCCACAAAAAGTTGAGCCTGATGATCTTTCAAGGTCCTTTCTAGCCTGGACTGTACTATCATTATATGAAGAGTTTGGCTAACGTATGCCACGTAATCTTGAATCTAGCAAATAATACGTGGAAGTTTTTTTCCTACAACGCAAAGGAAAAATCTGACAGCCATACAAACTTTATAACAACACCTGTGAATGAAACAGTGAATGTGAAAACATATGAAAACATGCATCTCTAAAGGCAACAAGCTTGATTTAAAAAGAATTTTAAGCAGGAAGCGTATTAGGCAGAGGTCTGCTGATATTTATCTATGCTGTATCACACAGAGTACTGTGTCAACACAATAGTTCTCCAGCAATCACCACCTCAGATCCACTGTAGATAGCACAGTTTTTTTGTGTGAGCTCTTATATAACTGCTAAGGACTTCTAGCTCATATGCTACTGCAAGAACACTGACGGTATGTTAAATGTATTCAGTGTGCTTTCTAGGTATTTACTTCTCAAAATGGTGTGTTACGTGAACATTATTTTACTCCCGATTACACAGACTGAAAAGATTTATATTGATGTTTATATTTCCTATTCCTTATCTTCCTAAGACACAAAACTAAGCACAGCATCACCCTCTGCACATAAATTTTTATGCACAGAAATCTTCCAGATTAACACAGTATGCCAGTCAGACCCCAATCTTGATGCAACAACAATATCAAGCTCATTACAAAGTAATTTACACTGTAATTTACAGGGTATACCATAAATACTGCCTAATACTCAGAAAATCAGCATTGCTCTTCCTAAGGCAGAGCTGCACACACACTGAAGAAGTGATTATGTGCCTAAGTACATTCCCAAGTTAGAAGTTTCAGTATCCAAAAAATCCACATCACCATGACACATTCCTCAACCAAAGCATTCCAAGCAAAGGTACTGTCAAGAGGTTCTTTCAATTCCTTTCGCACAGTCAAAGTGTTTTCAGATTCACAGAATCTAGTTTGGAAAAGACCTGCAAGATCGTCAAGTATAACTGTTTTCGTACATTTAAAAAAGTTATTTGTATTGAGAGTTCTCTATTTATTTTCAAAAGAACCATAATGACCTAAACATGCTGGAGAAATGGGCTGACAGATGCGTTAGGATATTCAACAACTACTAAGTCACGTGCCTGGGAAGGGAGAGCACTTGCAATGGCACATGAGGGCTGAGGCCCACAGGGCTAGTCAACAGCTCTGCTTTGAGGATTTGCACAAGCAGCAAGCCAAACATGACACAGCAGCACGCCCTGGCACCAAAGGAAGCCAACAGCATCCTGAGGGGTATTCACAGAAACACGGTGCTGTGGTTTACCCAGAAGGCAGCTAAGTACCACACAGTCATTTGTTCAATTCCCCCCCTCATAGTGGGATGAAGAAGAGAAGAGAATCAGGGAAAAAAAACATGAAGTAATTGAGATAAAAAACTATTTACTAAGACAGAACAGAAAGAGAAAAGATTTATTATTATCATTATTATTTTGATTTACGAAACAAGTGATGCACAGTGAAACTGCCTAATGCTCACCAACTAATGCCCAGCCAGTCCTCAAGCAACGGCAGCCACTCCAGCTGACACCCCACAGTTTTTTAAATCTCTCCTCATGATGTTATATGGTATGGAAAATCCCTTTGGCCAGTTTAGGTCAGCTGTCCTGGTTCTGTCCCCTCTCAGCTCCTTGCGACCTCTCAACTTCCCTTTGCTGGCAGGGCAGTATAAGAAGTTCAAATATTCTTGGCTCTCTGCAGCCACTGATGAGCAATAACTAAAATACTCACGTGCTATCAACATTGCTTCTCTCCCAAAGCCAAAACATAGCATCGTATCATACACTATTAATAAAAATAATTTGTCTCACCTGCAACCAGGAAGCATAGGCAGCATATTTTGTTGGAAGTGATTTTATCCTTTACTTTGCGCTCATTGTGCCATTGCTCTCAGCAAGGAGCAAGAGATGGTGAAGGTGCTGAGGTCTAGGAAGGAAGCTGAAGGAGCTTAAGGGAGCTGGGCTTGT